TTGATCATTGATCCTATATAAGTTTCTTCGTCTCCGCGTATGGATAATGCGGTGATAGAAACATTTGTTTTTCTTTCATCCATCATTGCAGCTTTTATCCAATTTGAACTGCTGCATTTTATACAACTATGCGAAGGTATTCTATCTAAACTTACAGTTCTATTTCCACAATCTGCACATTTAAAGAATCTTTTTATTGCATCAATAGCACGCAATAGATGTTTTTGATCCTTACACATGTCAGAAGCAGAAAATGATATATATTTACAAACTAAACATTTAACAGCTTTACAAGGAATTTTATAAGTAGTTAACATTTTCTCTTCTAATTTTTCTTTCATTTCTAGCTTATTGAAATATTTATCTTTTTCTTGCTCATAAGATTTTTCAATAAGATCAATATGACTAGATTTAGTTTGCATCATTTCTTTAAATTTATCTGATAAGATATTTGGTTTTTTTATTTCTTGCTTTTCATCATTTTCTGGCTCTCTTGGTCGTTTTTTCCCCCTTTCTAACTTTTCTTCTTTATTCAAACGTACTTTATTTGGATCCTTAGGTTTGATTTTTCCATTTTCTTTAACCCAATTAACTGCATTTCTTTTAGCAATATTAATTTGTTTTTTAGTTATAGGTTCTGACAAATCTATTATTCCTCTATGACAACCAATACCTAAATGGGGATTTGAAGAAAGCATATTTAAATTTTTTTTTTCTATATTATTATTTTTGCAGGAATTTAGAGATGCTTGAGATAGTAAAGTAGCTTTCCAACCTCTTGATTTGTTTATTTGTTCAAAATTTTTTTTTAATTGTTGTTCTGGTATTCCTACTTTTTCATTTTCATCTCTCATATTATTTAAATTTTTATTAATTAAATTATCATTTTTCTGACTTCCTGAAAGTAATGCTAACCGTTTAGCATCTTTTTCTTCTAATTTTTTGCTTTTCATTGCAATAACAGTATGAAATTCAGGCATATTGTTTAAAAATGGTTTCTGTTGTTGTCGTGTTTTTTTTTTTAACATATCTATTGAAAAATTCTGAGTGTTACTAAATGATTGTAACTCTGCTCTAAGAGAACATTTTTTATATTCTTTTTTCACATGATATAAACAAAATTCACAGCGACTAATATTTACAATAGAATTACATTGTTCTCCATTTTTTTTCTTTGATTTGCATTTTCCCATATCTTTAGATTTACCAAGAATCATGATCCTTTGAGGATTATCAATTGCTAATGTAGCTAAATCAAAATTGTCTTTAGATTCTAAAATATTTGGATTAAGAATACCTATTACAGTTCCAATAGTTGTTTTCCAAAGAGTTTTATGAGCATTACTAAACATAAAAAGGCTTATAGTGTTTATATTTTCAGATAAATCACTTATTTTCCATATAGAATATGAAGTTCCTTTTTGAGAAGTTTTTGGTAGAGATTTATTTATTAATACTCCTGCAATTACCCAATCTTTCTCTACATTTTCAGAATTAAGATGATATTTTATTTTTGATACTGTAACTGCTATTTTATCAATCATACGTGCTTTTAATTCTGCTGAAGAAACAATTGGATTAATGATTCTCAATCCAAAAAATGGATCACTATAAATATCTTTAGAAATAACTGTGATATTATTATTCATATTTACATTTTTATTAATTTTTGTTGCATTAAAATCAAATGTTTTACTATTTGTTTTACATGATAATGGTTTATCTTCATTCTTTTCAATAGTTTCTTTCTTTAATAAAGATTTTATATCACGTCCATAATTAGAATATTTTTGTTTCTCAAAATAACGTCTATCTTCATCATCTGAAGAATCAAGTATATCATCATGAATTTCACTTTTCTTTTGAACATTAATAGATTCATTTTCATTATTTAATTTAGAAGTATTATCTAAAAAATTAAAGTTTAATTCTTTCAGAGTTTGTTTTGGAGATGATTTATTATTTTCTTCTACTTCACTATTAGCTAAAAGATCATTTAAAATATCACCTATATCAGAATCACTATCATTATCCATTTTAAATATCTAAAATAAAATTATTTGTTATATCTCTATATGAATAAGATTATTTATCTATTTTATTATTATAAAAATATATTATTAACCTTTATTACTTACAATTTAAAAGAAAAAATATTTACTTCTAATGCAAAATAATAATTATAAAATGAATCACTAAACAAATTTATTTTTTTAATATTATCAGTTTATTAGCTTAATAAATTCCACAAGCATCAAGCTATATAAGTATTAAATCACTTCTAGCCATTTTTCGCGCCATTTCTTAATAAGAGAACAAGTCAAGTTTTCATTTATACGATTGAAAATTTATTTTTTTTTATTTTGTAAGTAAATATGAATATAAAATTTCTTCTAATTTGTCTAGTTAATATTATAAATAGGAAACATTAAATCCTTCTTAAATAAATGTAGTGAATTATTCAAAAACAATATACAGATAACCAATGGACAATATACAGATAACCAATAAAATTAAACATTCAATATTCGGTAATAAATAATGTAATATCTGCAATTTTAAATATTGTTATATTGTGTAATTAGAATAAAAAAAGTAATTATTTCAAGGAATTTAATATTTCAATAAAAAAATTAATGACTCAATATTTTTATCAAAAAACTACGAATTTATTATTTAATAACAATGTTTGATTTTGCTTGAAGAAAATTATATTATCATCAATATACTCGAGTTGAAAATCAGATATATAGGTTAATCTAGAGTATTGAGGTTTATTTATATATATATTAACGATTTTTTAGTGAAGATTCTTTTTAAATTAATTTATAACATGAAAATCATATAAAATATTTATTATAGACATTACAATTAATTTGAAGGATATTAGAATATTTTTTATAAAAGTAAAAATAGTATTAAAATTCGTAAAATAAATAATTTTTGAGAATCATATTTTTTATTCTTTTTTTTTTATATATTTCAAGATAATATTGATTTTTGAAATTATATATATTTGTATATTGAAAGAAATTATGATTTTTTATTATAATTTTATTAAACAAATTATTAAAAATTAAGACAATATGTATAAATTTATAGATTCGTATATTCGAAATCTTATTTTATTCAATAGTAGAATCATGAAAATAATGAAATAGAATGTTTTTTAAATCATTATGAAATATTATTTTAAATATATGTTTTTGAACATATGAATGATTATTGAGCGAGATAAATATAATGCATGGCATGCATGTTCGTTTTAAATTTATGCTGCAGTAATTATATGCAAGTCATTTCATATTTTTTTACATAAGCTATCATATGCAAAAGTAATTGTATTTAATTATTATTACTTTATGTTTATATGATGGAATTAGATTAAACCATTTAACCGTATCTAAATACGGTTATTCTGTATTGCAGCTGTAGAACCAACGATCGATTCAAGCAATAAGTTATCAATAAAACATTTTCTTCAATATATGTCTATCAAACTTACAATATGCAAGCATATTAGTTTCTATATTATGACTATAGTTTCTTTCATAACGAGAATTTTTTATTTATTTTTTGTTATATTTTCTGTTAAAAAAATCATTTCTTTAATATATAATTTTCAAGAAATATTCATCTCATATCTTTGCTTTTTAATGAACTATATTGATTATTTATAATTGAAATTCAATACAATTTCTTCTTTAAAACAAAGAAAATGAAATTAAATATTTATTTTATCAATATTAAAAATTTGCTTTAAAAAGAATTGTTTCTATTTGAAAAGTTTCATTTAAAATCATTATTGTTTTTCAAAATTAAAAAAATTAAAAATTGAAAGAAGAAAAAGAAATAGAAAAATAAAAAATAAGAATTAAAATATGTTTTATCGTATTGAATCATTCATCTTTTCGAGAAACTAATGAGAAATTTTATCAAATTTAATTCAAAATAATTTGCGATACGAATACCAATAACATTCTTCACTTACTAATCTCAAGGAAAACAGTGTATGACTTCCACCTGTCATGGGGAAAGCATATGGTTATAAAGTTTTTCGAATTGAACGGAACAACGCACAGTGGTTCTCTCTCTTTCTCTTATTCCATTGGAGAGCTCAATATTACTTGCATTCTATGGAAAATACACATTGTAAAAGAACAAATATATATATATATATATTTCAGTTCAGTATTATCGTAATAATGTTTTATACAGTCAGAAATTTATATTTCTACTAGAAATGAATAATAAATTAAATATAAATTAAATATAAAATAAAAATATAAAATAAAATAAATATACATTATTTTTTCAATATTTAAAATTAAAAAACTAGTGCTATAATAATTTCTAAAAATAATATCTTCTTGAGATTAAACATATTTTTTATAAATATTCATATTTCTCTTAGATTTACTTTAGATATCATAAAATATTAATATTTATAAATAAAATATTCAAAAAAGTAAGTATACATATTAAAAAATAAAAATCGTTTACATACATGAATAAACTTAATGCATAAAAAAGGAAATTTATGACTCGTAGATATCAATTTACAGACGATCGATTAACCTCAGTGTATATTGTTGAACGCGTCGCGGTGAAACGCGCGCTCCTCCATATAACGTACAACTAACCATAGCAACGTTATTATCAACACAATTTCTACGAAGTTACATTTTCGTAGAATTAAGGCGCGTAACAAAACTGGAGAATTCTTCATTTTTGTCTCCTTAACGAACTCGGTCATACCTCCATTTGATAGTACCAGAATTCACAATTTCCTCGCTCGGAGTCATCGCCAGTATCGTCAGAGGAAAAGGTAAAATAGGGAGGGCGAGTCCCCTCTAGGCGCGTGCCTTGCCCCTTGATCCCCTCATCATACCTCGTGCGTGACCCCCACCCCTGTATACCACCCACTCACCTACCCCGACCCAGTAGCCCGTGGGCCACCCCACCTCGCCCCACCCCAACACCGACAGCGATTCGACCCCGCGCGCGCACCCGTCTCAAGCGTCGTGTTCGTTCGCAGTCCGTCAGTCTATCGGCAACCTGCGTACCAGTCGTGTCGCAGTGCTTACGTAACAATATATTATTATTATTCTTACTTGCCTGACCGGTGTGTTGTTCATTTATAAATCGCGGTCTACGTTTTTTCGTTCGTCCCTCGCCGAGTTATTCGTCTTTCCTGCTCGGTCTCTCTAATTGGTTAATCATATAATTGTATACATATACAGAATCAATCAACATAACATATACATATCTTTCAATCTACTACATAAACGCAAAGGAATATAATACAAATACACATAAAAAACATACGACGAACGCACGCGCTGCGCTGGCGAAAAACGCGTTTTACGTCTAACGCAAATTGTCGTTACCTGTTTCTTGTCTGCATACATCGCCGCGCTGATACATCCGGATCCAGATCGTCGGTCAACGTTACCGTGCTCATCCATCTCCGTTCGCGTGATCGATTAATACGCGATTAATCAGTATCGTTTAATAAACGTGAATATAACGGAATACGTGAAGAGAGAGCGGATTATATCTCGGTGCTGCATGGGCTACTACCTGCCGGTAGATGAACAAGTGTCGTCGACGAATTACCACGGTAGAGCACGTTCTCTGGGTTTGGCCCTCCTCCACGGGCACGGTGTATCGATTGCTCTAAAATAGACGCGTGGGAACACCTGCAGGCTACATACACATTCTACCTACAACTCAGACCGTCTCGTTCTCTCTCTAGCCCTCTCTCTCTCTTACTTTCTCTCTGCATCGGTCTTTCCTGACGCCCTTGCAGCGCGTGACAGGTGCAACGAGAGTAACGGTAGCAGCACCGCGCTGTTATAGGGCTGGAGGTGGAGGAGGTAGTGACGGTGGAGGTGGAGGTGCAAGCGACGAAGAAGAAACATAACAGGAAGCGGAAGAAGCGAAACGACGAAAAGGAAGAGAGAGAGAGAGGGTAGAACGGAAGAAAGTAGAACCGACACATACATACGTGCGCGCGCGCGTTTAGATACGGAAAGGAAAGGAGTAAAGGTGGAGAAGGAGGAAGGAGGCGAAACGCCTGGGTTTCTCGCGAGAAAAGGGTTATTTCCAGTGATACGTCCTGGAGGCGCCTGTCGTCTTCGCCGGTACAACCATAACGCCGCCCGCTTTAAAACGCCCGAGACGGGATACGGTGGACTCATCGCCGCCACCCGCTCGAACCGCAGCCCCCGGAAACCCCGGACCATCCAGCAAACTCGCTTGCATCATGGACGCACCGCTCTCACAGAGTATGGACTCCGTCAACACGGTGGCCACCGGTGAAGACGAGGTACGTACACCAACTACACTGTATATTGTATCGTTAACGATGCGCCTGTGCATTACGCACGATCCTCTCTCTCTTCATATGTACTAAAGCCGCCGATCGCTTCCTCGTTTCACCCTTCTCCCTTTCTCTTCATTCGTCGCGACAAGACCGCGCGTGTAAATGCTTCTATACATTTGCATCGAACATCCAACATACTACCTTCCTTCCTTCCTTCCTTCCTTCCTTCCTTTCTTTCTTCCTTTCTATCACTTACCACGGTTACTTTCTGTCTTACTTCCACACTCGCCATATTGCTTATTTCTCTCGCGCCCTCTTTGTGTACCTCTCATTCCGTTTTTCTCTTTCTTTCCCGTTTTCTTCCCTCTCCTTCTCTACCTCTTGCTCTTTCCAGCTCTTTCCTCTTCCGTCCATCGTATCCCTCCCTCTTCGTCCCTCTTTTCATAGTTTGCACGTCACGAGACGCGCAGGCGCATTATACGCGCAAACTTTACGTGTGTTTCATGTTGTGCTGTAGTGCATATACATATAGTTATATACATATATGCGACTGAGTTCCGCGTAAGCGTGTGTATAGAGAGCGGTAACGTTTGGAACGTGTATATGGTTAGAGAGAAGGCGGGAATTCGATCGTGCACCACAATACACAGTGTGTGCCGCAGGTGACTCGTTTCCATCGTCCGCTCGATCGGACGGTAGGATGGCTGGTTAGGCTGGTTAGCAGGCCGGCTTCCTTCCTCACAGCCAAGCACCTGAGAGAGTGACGCGCCATGCCAGACCACGCTTGTTATTGATTTTTCCGCAACGCGAGAGCCGCGGAGAGCTAGCTATACGCTCTGTGTCACATCATATGCTGTTGGATTATGGTTTGTCACACGACATATGCATTATCAGAGGCTACTTACATACATAACTGCAATCGCGCGAATCTAACTACTGGAGTTATATGAATGATGCGTACACATATATTGAAAGTATTTCTGCGTGTTTTATTCAGTATACATATTAAATTTAATGGAGTGCGAGATCGTGTTCACTTGTGATGTACCGATCGATCAAATTCAACAATTATTGCAAGCCCCTGTCTCATGAACATTTCTCAATTCTTGATAAACTTTTACGAGATTTGTTGTTCTCTCTATCGCTGGATAAAAATTCTGGATTTTGTGATTTATTAAAACTATTCTTTGCTCAAATACACAATTTCAAATATATATTTAGTATTTTTAAGTATTATCAATATTTGATAAATGCAATGATACGTGAAATTTACACAATATGTTAAAGTAATACATATATCAGTATTTTTAATTAAACATCAGTGCTCCTTTGTAAGGTATCTTTTATATTCTATTCCATTTTAATTGATTTTACATCGTTCTAACGTTCACGTGACTCTTTTACCTCAGAGGGACAAAATGGAGTCGCTACTGACAATAGGATTGGATCAAAGACGATTTATTATTCACGATATAGAATTTCTCTTACTACTACCATCATTGTCGAGTAGAAAAAAACTTTACTTACTTCTCCGTAAACTTTTTATCTGTGTGTTATATTCAAGTACTTTACACACGATCGATTAAAAGAAAAAATTAAAAACATTGAAGAGAAAATTAAAAACATTCAAAAATTCGTATTCGCGAATCAGATTGCTGTTAATCTCGTGAGAGATGTTGCACAATTATGTGAAATATAGCGATACTTATTTTCGTCCAAGAACAACATTCACAGAATTATTCCTGGCAGTTTGTTTTCTCGTGTTTTCAACACGTTGTCTCTGATAAATCAATAATTTTTTCGTCCCGTATCTTTCGATTCTTTCGCACTCTTTGGATTCGGTCACGTTTCGTATGATCGGACGATCGAATGGATCGCGATTTCAACACGGAGAAAATCACGATTTTCTCGCTTGACCGGCTTTGGACGATTTGTCATTTAGATCAGGAAGAGTGATCCATCGAATGGAAACAAGCAACTCGAGAGCAGGAAACTTGATCATCGTTTTGCTCGATTTCCTTTTATGATTCTTTTCCGCGTATGTTCTTCCGCATTGTTAGCAAACAGGAACATCAATGCTCAATTAAAGGATTATCGATGAAGATCGATTTGTTCGTTGAATCGTTAGCATTTGAGAACGTGAAAGTTAATGGACGTTGTTAATGATCGACATTATCGTTTGTAATTATAGCCTGTTAAAAGATAATGATAATTTAACAGTATTTAATGATATTTTAATTCATTTTTTTAATAACATTCTTTGCCATAACTTCGTTGATAAATAATGAATATTACGAGATCAAAATTTTTTTGTAAAAATTAATTTTGAAAAATAATTAATGGAGAAATTATAGTAAAATTAAATTTTTTAATGTATGAAATGAATTTATAATACATTTTGAACGCAATTTCTGGATAGAAATAACAATTATATAAATACGAAATTAAACTTGCCTTTTATATATTAAAATGTAAAAGCAGATTCAGATTTATTTTATTATTCTATGCTATAACAGCACTTAATATAGGCGTGATTAAATATCGCACAAATGCATTCTTTAGGACGAATGAAACAATATACATTAATATTCTTTTAAATTGTCCTTGATTTTTAATTTACGATTATTAACATATAATTAAAAATTCAAAGAATTAAAAAAAGAATTAACTTTATCTCAATATCCCAACGATATCATTTTATGATAATAATCATTCATAAATTACATTAAAAATTCACTAAAAAATCTGTTCCATTCCATGTATCATGTATGAAATCCGAGTTTTTCAATTCTGTACTTTCCACCTGTATTTACCACAACCAATGAAATAAGACATCGCAAAAAAACTTGATAATCGTTCATAAATCACCAAAAAAAAAAAACCCGTTAAAAAAAATCTCTTTTTCCCTTATATCAACTACGAGTAACATGATAAAATTCGAGTTCCTCAACTCGACAGTTCCGACATTCAACCAACGGAATAAGCCGGTGAAGAGCGTATAATAAAAATTATATATATACTCTGAATCTCGGGATCCTCGGGTTCGTAATTAAAATTTAGCCAGTGATCTTGAGATAAAAAGTGTGTACAGCTTTTTTTTTTCCAGTTGGGAAGGGAGAAGTTGCGTGATTTTTACCCTCTGTTCGCCACTGTTGATGGTTCCTCTTCGCGTTTGTCACCATCGAGAAAAACCACGACGGGTAGGGGAAAAATTTAATTCTCGCTATGCAGTTGATAAAAAAGATATTTGTTGCGTGATGAGGCCACGCTTGGATGTAACGAGGAAACGTTTTTACATTTCCCACGACCGTTTCGCAGCGAAAATTCAACAAAATGGCCACTATTTTTGCGTCCGTTTCTTTCATTCGCTATAGAACGAAAAAAACAATCAACGAATGCTTTTGAATTTATGTATCAAGCCTGTTAATTATTAATAGATGTTGGAATAGTATATTTTTGTTTTTTTTACATAGATCATTTTTCGTGAAAATGTATTTAAATTTATTTAAAAAACGTTCAAATCCTTCTTCGTTGCATTCTAAGCGTTTTATATGTTCCTTTTGTCGAAGTGACAAAAGGATGAATAAAAGTGCAGTGCACAGCAATAATTAGAGATTACCTTGATTTAATTGCGAGAGCAATGAAAAATCGATGAAAATGAAATATTCAGAATTTAATGAAAAAAAAAAAATGGATGTAAAAAAAATATATTATAAAAAAAAAATAATTAAAATATTTATATACATTTCATTTGAATTTAACTTAACATTCCAATATAGATATTTGTTCTAAATTTTCTTCACTTTGTTGTATTTTTTCTTTTGTTTTAGATATAGAAAGATCGAATTTTACGCGCTTTGAGATACGCTATTAGCTTGTTTAAGTTGGTTTTGTATATGTACTATAGGAAACTTTACAGCTTTTGTACAAGTGAGGCTTGTTTAATCGTAACGAGATAAAGATACTTGCCTCGAATTTATTTACGAACATGGTTATATTTCGAGATTAATTTTTCGAAGAATGACATCTTATTCTTGTTAATATTATTTTAGAAATATAGATTAGAAATATAGATTAATTATTTTTATTACTTGTTATTGTAGATTATAGAATTTATATATACATATATATTATTTTCATAATATCAGATTTTTATAGTCATAAGAAAGAAATCAAAAGAAATCATATTATTAAAAGAAATAAAATTGTATTTTGATTAAATTAATCAGTATATAAATACCACACTATACATTATACATTTTATAACTGCTTTATATAAATACATTTCAATAAAAATCAATATTGATTGAAAAAATTTAAAATCGATCAATTTTTCATTGGCCAATTAATATTAATTATCAAGATAATTGTAATATTGTTGAAACGTTAATTTGATCTCTTGAACACGTACAACAATTTACTCTGCGTCATAAATTTTCATCTATCAAACTCCATTCACCGTTCAAGAACAAAACTGCTAATTTTATCATTGATCCAAAACTATAATCAGCCCGTATTAGATCGCATTCGACGCTTAGAAATTATACATCTGATCAATTATCGAAACAAATTTGCCCGATATCATATTCTGAAGTGATAAATTACTTGAAGCGAATTAAACACCGGTTTAATACGAACATTCGATCACGTATGATAATTGGAAGGCGGAAGTGGCGATCTCCGGATATCAATTCGAGGATTTAAACCGCTTAACGAACCCTTGCACGGATCAATTTCAAAAATAAGTTCCACGCGGTGGAACTTCGGTTCGCGGTCAATTAGCCTCGAACGAGCTCATTGGAATTTTTAATGTTCTCCCCCGGAAGTCAGCGCGCGTCTGGGAAACACGTGGAACAAATTTTCGCGATGAAGCAAAGAAGAAACTGAAGTTCAAGAGTCAAGGTATTATTTTTAATACCGATCGTTCTGATGTTTGATATGTTTGCATACCACGAATGATTTTCCATTGAAAGTACGATTTGAAATAATAATAGAAATTTTGC